CGCAGCTTCTCACGACGTGAGCTGGGGGAGCCCGATCGAGGACACCCACCGAAGGGGCCAGGACGAAGGAGGGGTGCGCGTCATGGCCCGAGGCATGTGCGCGCGCGAATGGGGCGCCGGGCGACGTACTGGAAGAAGAGTAGCCATATGAGTAAGAAGACGAAACAAGTAACAACAACAGTGATACGAATGAGAGCAGCACTAATACAAATTAAAAGACGAATTGTAATAACTACAACAGTAAAAAAACTGATGAAAAGAAATTCGCGGGAGTATGAGGTCTGGGAGATATCAGGCCCTGGCCATGGGATCCACACGCCCCGAGTCATCAGCCCCCGCTAGGAAGCACCCGAAAGGGGGAGGGCATCGGACATCGGACAGCGGATCTGCAGCGGCTGCCGTGTCGCAGATGGGCGAAGTAGCGCCAAGCATGCGAAACATGTGAGATGCTAGAAAAGAACTCGTCCGACGCGTGAGGACGGACAGATACAGGTACAGTCGCACCCAAGAGGGAGGGGGTACTGCAATCAGAACGTGCGCCCTTAAGTCGCGCAAGTGGCCACAAGAGCGTGCGCCAAAAAACACGAGCACCTTCGCTGGACGACGGGACTTGTTCTGGGGCGCCCAAACAACGATAGCGTAACAGAAGACATAAGACACAAGGGTGCCCGTCTGAAGCCAAAGCTGCTCTGAACACCCTTGCCAGCTGTACATCTGGTTATTGTCGTAAAGACGTGGACGCTGGCTTTTGACACGAACCCATTGGCCGAAAGAAGCGGGTAGAAATATGAAGTAGGCTTGCGTTGGAAGTAGATTGGGTATCTGGCCTTCTCGCGAAGACGAAGAAAGAAGAACAACCACTCCACCCTAGAAATAGGAAGGCGTTTGAAATAGGTCGGAATCCTCGGACCCCAAAATACACAACACCCTGCAACTGCGAATGAGAGCGATAGGGGCTGGCGCGGGCTGGGTCGCGGGTGGGTCGAGGTTGTGTCACGGAGTCGATCGCGGATGGATCGCAGGCGGGTCGCGGGCGAGGAAGATGACAACGCAACAACAACACAACGAGCATAATCCGGCGGACGGAACGCCACTTCTGCGCCACGCCCCCAGGGACCATGAATGACCGTTCGGCCCCCTCACCGATCTAGCTAGGTACCAATCGGTCGCTGAAGTTTCAACGACAGATGGGTAAGTGGCGAAAATCGGGCCGCTGAAGAAGGAATCTTTTTCGTAGGGGAGGGGCCGGTGTTCCTTGTTTGTGTTACAGCTCGTCTCAGATCTTCCTCAGTTTTCCGATGGGACATCGGAGGCTAACTTATGGAAGAAAAAGGCCTCGTTCATTTTTTGGGGTTCCTTATGAACCAGACCCCCGACGTCATGATTGTGTTATTACGCCGACCCCTGGAGGTCTCGACCCGTTCCCCTGGACTGGCTTTTCATCCCGAGTCGTTTTTTGACGGTCTCGAGGGCCGGCAAGGGCCCCCAGAGGCCGAACATAGCAAAAGACCTCCCGTCGCCGAGGGGATTCCTTGGGACAGCGCCTCGCCTGCAGATCGGCCAATCCTGCGCGAGACCTCCGCTGCCCCCGGGGGCAGGGACTGCTCCCGCCCGGCCAGGCCCGCCCCGCGCCAGGTGGCCCTCCGCTTGCCCGCGCGCCGCCGCTGCCACGCGGACGCCGTGCCGACGCGGCGCGGGCATGCCCCAGGCTTCCGTCGGGCATGTGCCCCCATGCGGTGGGGGGTGCTCAGAAAGAGTAAAGAATAGTCTGGCGGGCGATGGTCTGAATATTTTGTGAGCACGCTTGAATATGTTTCGTGTTTCGCCACAAATCCGCCTGTAGGAGGACATGCCCGACCTAACCCCAGACCCGCGGAGTCGCATATTTGCTTCGCACCGTGAACCAATGAAGTAGGGGCTCGACCACAAGAAACCTTCCACGAGAAACCAAACCCCCGCAGCCCCAGGACGTACCTTGCTTTTGGGTGTGGGGACGTCACGTGCTCCATAGCAAAACCAAATGCGGTCGGAGCATCGCGTCGCATCGCCGATGCATCGGCGATGCATCGGCGATGCACTGGCGGTGCATCGGCGACCCCATCTAGGAGGCCTAGACTCCCTCGACCGACTAAGTTTTCATCCCGAGTGGTGCGACTCTGACAGATCTGGGGGCTGGCAAGGACTCCAGGAGCGCGAATGACCGGCAGAGGCCGTCCGCCGTTGTGTGGCGGCGAGCGAAGGGGGGGAAGTGAGAAGGAGAAGGCCTGCTCCTTCCCTAAAGATACAAACAAACTCTTAGAAGGCGCGAGGGCTTCTGAGAAATCCCGCGGCCTTCTGAGAAGGCCTTCTCCTTCTCTTTCTCCCCGCTCGCCGATTTGTCCCACGACGCTGCGGTGTCTGGGGAACGCACGGAGGTCCAAACTGGACCACGGGAACGGTCTGGGGTTGCGTTCTGCGCAGCAGCGGCCCAAAGTTTTGGGCCCCTAGGGATGGGGCCCCGGAGACAGGAAGGGGTCGCGGTGGGTACGGCCAACCCGCGTATCATAAGGATGCGCGAGAGGTTCGGAAGCCTCCGAAAGGCTCAAGGGGAAGCCCTCCTCCTTCTCCTCTCCCTCTCCTCCTCCTCCTTCTCCTCCTCCTCGGAGGAGCCTCCGAAAGGATCAAGGACAAGCTGGGAGTTTTTCGTCGAAAGGATCGAGGGGAATTAAGCCCCGTTGGGGGGCTGCTACGCCGGAACCGGCCGCGCGTTAAGGGGGATGAGAAGCCGGATTGAAACGGGATTAAGCCAGACTCAGCGGGAATCCGCCGGGTAAAGCGGGATGGAGCCAGATTCACCCGAGTTTCGGACCAGGGCAAGATCAGAATTGGACCTCCCAGGAGTTGCATCCAAACATAAGGATGTGCGATGAGGATGCAGGGGCCTGACAGCGGCCAAGGACGGGCCGAATGGGCAAGGATGCAAAGCGTACCCTCGGGAAGGTTGCCCATCCTTACTGTGCGGGTTGACTGCATGTCGGGGATCTACTGGCCCGGGTTAATCAAGACCTGGGTCAGTCAGGCTTTACATGATCCGGCACAGTCCTGCAGGATCCTACAAAACCCTGGACCCGAACCCAGGTCAGTTCAACCCCGGCCCTGCTGGATGATGCACGATCCGGTGCTCTGACGGACCCCCGTTTGGGGTGACGCCCGTCGCTTGAGCCCCAAATATGGATACATCGGACGCCCTTGGGGCCCGAGCACATCCGTAAGTAACACCCCGCAGTTGCGGACAAGAGTGGCAGCGAGGCTCTGAAGAAACCCGCCGTTGGCGCCGCTTTCGTCAAAGCACTGCGAGTGGGTCGCGAGTGGGTCGCGAGGTGGGCAGCGGGGTGGGTCGCGGGGCGGGCCGCGGGCGAGGGCGACGACAACCACAGCGCAACAACGCAACAACAAAAATCATGTCAACAATGTTCGCCCTCATCTGCTCGCATGCCATATCACACGTGAATCCGACACCCTCGATACCCGCCCCCTTCGTTGTCGATCGTACCCCCTTGGGGGTAGATCTTCCCTGCCTGCCGCGCATGGTTGGCGCAGCCGCTGAAGCAGGGGAAGTTAGGAGGGAAGACACAAAGGGGGAGGGAGAAGAATGGAGCACGAGAGAGAGATTTGCAGGTGGCGGGTTAGGAGCAGGAAAACACATGACATAACCAGAGGGGCGGGTCGGGTCGGCTGGGCGCCCAGTCGGCCCGGTCGGGCTGGCGGATCGCTGAGGCGTCAATCCAACACGAATCGCAAGGCAGTTTCGAACGACAGCGCGATTCCCATGTACATCGCGAGAAAGTGCACAGCGAGAGCATGACTCCTGAGTCTTGGGGACGCGAAAGCGCGATTATGGCATCGAAGCTGAGGGTCCGCGCAGGAGCGCACATGTGAAATACAGACTGTGGAAGTATCCGACGGGAGCTGCTGCTGCTGCTGCTGTAAACCACGGGCCAACAACGCAATTTGAGGACCAATATTTCCCCTGCAAAAGCGGAAAAATGCGTAGGAGCCCCGGAGGAGCACTGGAGTTAAAAAACAGTGTGCGCCGAAGAGCGGGGGTTCACCAAAAATTGCGTATCTCTGCGAAATCAAAATTCAACGCAACAGCGCAACAACGCAACCACAATCCGCACCGCGGAGCCCCACTTCAGCCACGCGCCCAGGGACAGCGAATGACCGCTCGGCCCCCTCACTCTGAACCCACCGCCTGCCGAGGTCCCCGAAGGTCGTCCCCCCCACCCCCAGGCGGTGGTCGGGGATGAATCTGGGCCGTGGGATGAACCTACTAAATTTCCCGTAGGTAGGGGAAGGTAAGGGAGAAGGTCGCGAGCCCTTTTCCCATGCGCCGCGGACGGGCGGCGCTGTACCGATACCAGTACCTGAGCCGAGACGTCGGCGGTAGATAAAGATATAATGGTGATATGAGCGGACTTCACACACAGAGGGCGAGCCGAGACTACAACGTTGGCCCTCCTTCCCATCGGCTCAGAATCGGTCCCTAGACTCCTCCCAGGGTGCAGCCCTGACATATCTTCCTCGATGCGGCTCCAACCGCGGCGACGAGAGGCCTCCAGGAGTCGAGACGGGGATCGACTCAAGAACTGCTTTACCCCAGCCTTGCTCGCTCCGCGGATCCGCGGGACATGCGTCGCATGCTCCGCAGATCTGTGGAGCATCGTGTGCAACTCTTTTTCGTGGCCTCGACGGGAACATCAATTTTGAGGCAAATCCATTCTGGGGAAACCAAAAGGTACCGATACCGCTACTCCCTGGACCTCTCCCGGGGTGCATCCTGACCAGGATGTCGAGGCGAATCCAGCGGTGGCGACGAGGGCCGCCCAGGAGGTCCAAAAAGAGGAAAATGAGGGAAGGGTGTAGAGATATGGGCACCTTCTCCTCCTCTGACATTCTGCCATTGGTCGATCCCCTGCTCGCAGCATGCCCCAGAGCAATCCGAGGGGGCGCCCTTTCCGTCACAGCCGCGGGGCGCCCGGGGTCTGCGCGGGGCCCGGCGGCGCGCCGCCCTCGGCGGCTGCGCGCCCCCCGCGCAGGTGGCCCGAAAAGTTCTGGAAGACCACGGCACAGCGGCCGTCGAGGCCAACGTCCTCCGAGCATCGTCGAACCGCTCCCCACCCCGAGGTCGGGCACGTCCCCCTACAGGCGGATCTTGGACACGAAAAAAGCGTCCTCCAAAACTATGCAGAAATAGTCAAACCAGTCGACAAGTCGTCCCCTGACTTCTTTTTTTCAATGGGTATTCCTCCTGTAGAGGGGACAACCCCGACTTCATCCCCACTGGTGTGGCCTGGCCCGCACTGGCAGATGTGCCACCCTAGATGGGGACATGGGCTGCTCCCTCCGGGTTTCGAGGGTCATAGGTATCCCCATCTGGGGTGGCGAGATGGTGGGGCTCGGGACGGGGATGGGGATCGGTGAAGCGATACTGACGTCCACGCACGTCATGCCCGTGTTCGCGTGCGGGAAGCCGCCGCCGCCCCGCGTGAGCAGCAGCGCCCGCAGCAGCAGGCTGAGGAAGTCGTGGTGCGAGAGCAGCGCGACCGTGCCTGCAGCGGGGCCCCCCACGCGAGGGTACGAGCACGCGCGCGGCGTCGGAACATCGCGCCGCGTCGCCGATGCATTGGGGGCGTCGCCGATGCATCGGCGGCATCGGCGTGGACAAAAAAGCTCACCATCGAGCCACTGGCGGAACACACATATACCGATGCCGACCTGGACTTTTCCAAGGGCGCGCTCTGGCCAAGATTCGGAGGCAAATCCTGCCGTGGCGACGAGGGCCTCTCAGGAGGCCAAAAAAGGACCAAAGTGGGATGGGTGGCAATAGGAAGTGGGGAGGGTGGCGGTATTGGTATTCTTCCTCCACCGACGTGCCTCCAAAGCTCTGGACCACTTCCCACTGGCAGGTTTTTGGTCCTGGATCATTGCGTTAACGGTCCCGGGGCCTGGCCCCCAGACGCCGAAAACGACGAACGACATACGAACACGCAGAAAACTACTAAAGCAAACTTCCGAATGGAAGGGAACGGTATCAGTACCTCTTCTACCTCTGAATGCCTGTGGGGCGCTCGGCGCAGGATGCCGCCAAGGCCCGGAGCCGTGCCGCGCATGACTCGGCGCGCCCGGCCGCCTGCTCTGCAGACTCGCGGCCGCCGAGCCGGTACCAGCCCAATTCGGTCACGTCCCTCGGCAAAGCGCAGCCGGGCAGCTGCTCCTGAACTGGTACAGTGAAAACGCAGTAGTGCGCCATAAAGATGCAATGGCCTTGAAGGCCATGTTGAAGTTTTGCTTTGCGAGTGAAAGTAGCTATTGGGCCGAAGGGGCAAGGATGCAAAGGTAACCTTGGAAACTCGCTTATCATTACTACGCGCTCTGACTGTAAGGCTTCGGGCTGGACACAAGCAGCCTCCCTCCAGCTGGCCCGCTCTGGCCTCAAGATGTCCCCCACCCGAGGAACCCAGGGCGGTCTCAACACCCACCCTGAGATCCGACGGCGCGACAAATTGCAACATCGTGAACTGAATCGCGACAAAAACCCCGGGCCCCATAATCAAACTGCATTTTTCGAGCCAGACGGGGACTGGGGCCCGGAACCGTTTGAAAACGCCTATCGTGGGAGACAGACGCAACGCCTGGGTCTCGGGGATTGGAGCCGCCCTGGACTACTCAGGGGGCAGGCCTGTCGAGGCCAGCCAGGACTATATGGAAAAGAGCTGCCTGTGCGAAGCTGGAGGGGACACCGTGCTCCTGCATCTCGGAGCGGGTCAGGCCGCGGCTCAGGGTGCCACCTGAGTCGTAGATGCCGCCGACCTCGAAGCAATCGGTCCACACATGCGGTACCAAGCCGAGTCGCTCCGCGGTGGGTCGCAACGTCTGCATGGCTCAAGAGGCAATTCCTGGGAGGTTCTTCGTCTAAGAACGACGACGGGGTGCTAGACCCCTTATCAGGATGGCTCTACCGACATGCCCAGCAAAAATTACGGCAAACCGTGTTAAAACACGTGAAAATTGATGCGCGTCATACTTATATGACGGTTCGTGGATAAACATACATACACCCTCTTAGCTGCAACACATATTACACTATGTGGTATACAATGAATTTCCCCCGTGCCACGTTCGTCACTTACTTACCCCGTGCCCGTTTGGTTATCGAGGCGATTGCGCTAAATGCAAAACGTGTGATACCGTGCTGCCGAAGATTGGGATGGCGATTTCCAAATGAATTCCCCCACTCCGTCGTCTTTATCGAAGCGATCGCGCTGAATGTGATGTATTTGATTCGACTGCTTCGATATCACATCCAAGCTTTTGCTGCAGGCGTATCACGCACCCCCTCCTCTCCTCCATCTCGGCATATTCTGGCGCGCCACTCGCGCGATTCGCGGCCCCGCGGGGGATTCCACGCGAGGCCTCACTGGCAACGGTCGCGTGCCGCCTCGGCACATTCGGGCACCGCGCACTTCGTAGCCCCATAGTCCACCGATGGCCTCATCGGTGGCAACGGTACCATGCCACCTCAGGCCGATATCGGTCACACGCGTCGTGGCCCCGTAGGGAACTCCACCGAAAACCCCGCTGTCAACGGTCGCCTGGCGGCATCGGCCCACATCGGTGCACCTTTTCTGAACGCTCTTCGCGGCAACGGTCGCACGATGGAGCCACCCGTTTCAACGCACCCACCATAACGTCAGTGCGCGAAGGTTCGGCTGAACAAAAGGCGCGCGATTACAAAATGGCCCCCAACTCGGCGAATCGCGGGGAGGGCGCCCGCGGCGACGGCGGCGGAGAATGGAAGCGCGCGGCGGCGACGGCGATTATTAAGCAAGGACCGACCGTCCCAGCATTCCTATAGCCCTACCACGAAATGTTCTTAGAACCCAGAAATGTTCTAGGAACAAAAACAATGCTCTTAGAACATCAGCCCGATGTGTTAAAACAGGACAGACTCCGCCAGAAATGTTCTAAGAACGCACGAAAGGTTCTTAGAACATTGTTTGGTCGGGCTATAGGCGAGCCAGGACGCTTCGCCACTGCTTGAGATTTGCGCCGACGCCCGGCCGCCAGCACAAAGGCGACAGGGGCAGCAGCGCCTCCGCTGCAGCGGGGCGCCCGAGCCAAAATCGCCACGGACTGGGGGGGATCGGAGGGCAAGGGCGGTCGAGGCAAGGGCCGTCGCCGTGGCCGCCGCTGCGGTATTCTCCTGCTTCGCACTCGAGCAGGGCTCCCGTCGCCGCTGTGGAAAATGGCCCTGGAGGAAACGGGCCCCAACCGTGGAGTTCCCGCCAGGGCCTCCTCGGTGGTTGTTCGGCCCGTCAAAAAGCAGGACCCTGCCAGGGGCCGCCTCTCGCAGGACATGCGCCCACCGCGGCGCCCAGCAGCGAGTCCAAAATGGCGAGCTAGCCAAGCGCACAGCGGGGCCTGGCGCGCCAGACAGGGCCGCGGGAATAATGGGCACGAAATCCACAGGTAAATTTTCGCCGAAATTGACAGCGGCCGCTGTTGGGCAGCGGGCTCGTTGCATCGAACTAACAACTTCCGTGGCGAGGGCCACGCATTTCGCGCCCGCTTCGATCGCGCCCGACACTTGGCCTTTGCTCGGACAAAGCCAGGAAGGCGCCGGCTGGCTCGCTGGCCCGCCAGCGCGGCGGGCCGGACGAAATCGCGGGCGCTAGCAACGGGGGGGTCAGCGAACTGGCTCGCGTAATTCGCTGGTTCTCCTGTCGCCGAAAGCGACCCTGCATCGACGAAGGGGCCCTTCGGCGGGGCGCGGCGGCACGCGGCAGACTGCGCAACCCCCCTACTCTTTTCACCTCTTGCGTCCGCCCCTGGCAAGGCCGGCGGTCCGCGCCCGGGCGGGCGCTGTCACCGCGGCGAAGACGTGCCCTGAGGGAAGCGGGCCCTGGGCCCTGGCGGTCATCCTCGGCCGAACCCTTCCAGGGCCAAGTTTCCTCGCGGCACGCGCGCCGCCGCGGCGGCCCTCGGTCAGCCCCTCGCTCCGCCGGCTCGCGCGCGGTCGCGCGCGCCCGGCAGCGCGCCCGCGGCGCTCGCGCCTCGGCGGCGGACAGGGCTGGCGGCGGGGAGGGGCACGGCGACCAGATTCGCAGATTTCCAACCCGCTCCTGGGCCCAGGTAGGGCGGTGGGGGGGCGATTCTCGCCCCCCCGGCGGGGCGGGGCCGGGGGGGCCGGGCGCCGCGTCTCCGGGAGGTGGCCCGCGCTGGACTTGAAACTGACGCGGAAGCGGTCGGCCGGCGCCCGGACCTCGTCGCAGCAGCTGTCCAGGGGGGCGAGCTCCTGCTGCTCGTGGCGCAGGCAGTCGCGTGGCCCTGCGCGTGCCAGCCCGAGGCGCCTTTCCACGAAGACCAAGTGGCCGCGTGGAG